TATATATATAAGATTCACCTACCTTTTACATAAAGTAATCTTTGCAAATTTGGAATATTACCCCATGTTTTAATTAATCTCACATGGGGAAGGTTTTGTTACTGGAGCATCCAATTATTGACTTGCAGCATGACATGGGCCAATGGTGGTCCTAGATTGGCATGTCTTGCAAGCTTCAGTGACTTGTAAATTAACCTATTTTTATCTATTCACCCTGTGAATTGACAGTTGACAGATGCTCTAAACAAATAGTTTCCCTAATCGTTCATCTTGAAGATTGATCTGTGATGTCAAATTTATTGGGTCCCTTTTTTAGCTGTTGCCACTATTTTAGTTGTTTCTGTTGCAGATAGCGACTGGTACAACATATATATGGTCATTCTTTTTGCACATATAATCAGACTATCTTTAGTCCTTCAGCTTTCATCAATCTCTGCACATAAAAACTTTTCACAGCCTGATTTTGTGGGGATTGGTTCTCTCTCTTTTTTGTGTCTGATTGATATGAAAAAGTCCCACGTTGTTGTTTCTCTTCTTCTGGTTCTACTGTTTCATGAGGGAGAAGTCAGCGCAGTTAGAACTCAAGATGGATCCGAAGCGTGGGGCTATGTTCAAGTCAGGCCAAGTAAGCTAAATCCCAGCATCAATCTTCATCCCAATTCAGATATTTAGTAGTGCTGAATTATTTGGATTTATCTCAGAATGCTGATCTTGAATTCTTGTGTTTCTTTCAGAGGCTCACATGTTCTGGTGGTACTACAGAAGCCCAAACAGGATTGAAGATCCACAAAAGCCTTGGCCAATAATTCTTTGGTTACAGGGTGGTCCTGTGAGTATCAAAATACTTGTGGGATGCTCTCCAGTTTCAATCTTCACTGCTTTTCGTTTTTCTGATACAATTATCTCTATCTTGCGAACTCAAGGGCGCTTCAGGAGTTGGAATTGGTAACTTTCAAGAGGTTGGGCCTCTAGATGAGTTCCTGAAGCCGAGAAACTCAACATGGTTGCAGAAAGCTGATCTCCTGTTTGTGGTACGTACTAGGAAGTATAATGTCCGTAAATTATCACGAGTGCTATTGCTGCTTTACAAATTTAATGGGATTTTTCTGGAGGGATTTGTTTTACATTCTTATCTGATTTTGTCTTCGCGAATACAATGTCTATAGGACCATCCAGTTGGGACAGGATACAGCTTTGTGGAAGACACAACATTATTTGTGAAGACTGATGTCGAGGCTGCAACTGATGGAACTACATTGTTGATTGAAGTATTCAATAAGAATGAGACCCTCCAAAAGAGTCCTCTGTATATTGTAGCAGAGTCTTATGGTGGCAAATTTGCTGTTACTCTAGCTTTATCTGCTTTAAATGCTATTCAGGCTGGAAAGTTAAAGCTAAATCTTGGAGGTGATTATTGCTTCTCTATACTTGGAACTGAGGAGTACTTCTTTTCTCAACAATCCTAAAGTTCTGAGTTGTTACCCTTTTCATATAGGAGTTGCATTGGGCGATAGCTGGATCTCACCTGAAGACTTCACTGTAAGCAGTTTCAGTAATCTGTAACTGACCATGTTTCAGTTCTACATTCATCTCCTGATCCCTCAATTTTGCTTGTTTAAGAAGTTAAAAACGGCTGACCAAGCTCTGTGATCAACGTGCAGTCTTCTTGGGGTCCTCTCTTGAAAGATGTCTCGAGGCTTGACAACAATGGTTTGCAAAAATCAGACAGGTCCTTCATATACTTTTATCAGCTAGAACTGTTTAACAGGATCGAGCTAGAAGAATTTTCAGTTGTCTAATAGGCCTATTTCATGATGCAGTTTGGCTCTTCAAATCAAACAGCAAATTGCAGCTGGTAAGATGTCAGAGGCTACAGACACATGGAGCGCATTGGAAGGCTTGATTTCCCACTATAGTAACAATGTGGTATGGGACTGTGTGTTGTAAATGTTTCCATAGTTTAATCAAGTTCAGAGTCAATCAGAAAAAGATTTGTACTTTTATGCCTGTCTAAGTTGATTGATTATCTATCACATTCAGGATTTCTACAATTTCCTCTTGGATTCAGACGAGGACCCTTTATCATTGACAGCTGCATCAGTAGAACTAAAACAGGAAATTTCTCTAAAAAGGTACTCAAGGTACCTTCAGACCTTGAGGTCCACTCCTGGAGGTGAAGCTGATCTTGATAAGTTGATGAATGGTCCGATTAAAAAGAAGTTAAAGATCATACCACAAAATCTCACGTGAGTTTTCTGATCATTCGAAAATCTTCACACATTCCCTCCGAGCTCCAGCACTGGATTGTCATTAACGTTGTAAAAGGGTTTTAACAGGTGGGGAGAGCAGTCCAATCAGGTTTTTGCAGCACTGCAAGGTGATTTCATGAGTCCACGGATCAGTGAGGTACTAAATCAGATTGTTTTTTTTTTTCTTTTCCGGGACAAAAGATGGTCAATAAATTCAGGATGATCTGCTGATATTTTGTCTGAACAGTTTACAAATGAGTTGTTGCTTTCTTAATTATTGTACTTACCTTCCAATCTAAGCAGAGCATCCTTTGGCATCCCAACTGAGACAGGATAGGACCAATATTGTCACTTATATTTATTGATTTTACTTTTATTTGTTCAACCGTATTTTGCAGGTGGATGAACTCTTAGCAAAAGGGGTGAATGTATCTATCTACAATGGACAGGTAAGATTCCTATCAGATTTAAACAAAAGAAGTGCATACCTTCAGTCCAAGCAAAAGATATTTGCGGAAGAGTGATTTATTGACTGCAATTGAATTATGCAACAGTGGCAATAGAATAAGAAACACTAGAGTCTTGATCAGGGATGTGTTATGATCATCTATGCTAGTAGTACCATTTAACTTGGTCCATTTCTCTTTTTTTTTTTTTTTTTTTAAGGTAAGTAGTCCAATTGAAGGTATTACAACTATTTTGTTGTTTGCTTGTAGCTTGATCTCATCTGCGCAACCAAGGGAACCAACGCATGGGTTGAAAAGCTCAAGTAAGAAGAAGTCATAACTCATAACTCCTCCCCCCCCAAAAAAAAATAAAAGGGTTTTCATTCTGATCAGTAATTCTCTATGTTGTCTTCACAGGTGGGATGGGATCACAAATTTCTTGAACACGGATAGAACGCCTCTGTATTGTGGAGGTGAAAAGAGCACAAAGGGTTTCACCAAGTCATACAGAAATCTACATTTCTACTGGATTCTTAAAGCTGGCCACTTTGTAAGTCAAACTGTCTATTCTCATATTTATTGCTAACTTTTGTCTCTGTTATAAAATTATGAGTCTTGACAACTCACACTATTGACTTGAATCGCTATAATAATATTAGTACCGTATCTCTTCATACCTAAACCCCCCCCCCCCAACCCCCAAAAAAAGGGCAAACTATAACTCTTTCTCTTAATTTTTCTTCCTTATATATATATATATATTTTTTGGTTTGTTTTATGAAGGAAGTGAATAAGTAAAGTTATGATATATAGATCAGAGTAAATCTTATATACACTATCACCGTTTGATTCATGATATGTGTGCAAAAGTTAAATTTCAAATTTAAATTTTTCATAGTTGATTAACCACACAAACTTGATGTGTGAGAGAGTTCTTGAAATGATATGACCAGCATTTACTGCCATTATTGGCTGGCCGACAATGTAGCATCAGAGTTTCAAAAATTTCTTTGGTAGAAACTTCATAGGTATTTTGTTAAGAGTTAGAAGAAAATTTTCTTCTTAGTTATATGTCCTGAAATCTTTAATAATAATAATATGTTTCCCTGGTTGTATTGTTTTGCAGGTACCTGCTGAGCAGCCTTGTGTAGCATTATCGATGATAGGAAACATCACGCAATCACCCGTTGCTTCTTCGAAGTAGAGACTTTTATACTTTCCCAGTTTTTCAAATCCCTTCGACCATTGACAGAACACATACACAACATAGAAAAAGGGCAAAAAAAATAAAAAAAAAAATAACCCCAAAGAAGAAGAAGAAGAGCAATAATGTCTATATTCATTGTGAAAAAGAAAGAAATTATTTCGATTTTATCTTCGTCCATCTTGTCATTGCTCCCAGCTTTCGATTTATGACATGATTTTGCATCTGATCAACGCGTACCATTTCACGTTGAATGACTCTGGTCATAACATTGAACAGTTTATTTTACTTTTTTTTTTATTTTTATTTTTTGGGTTAGATTTTATACTAGTTTATTTTACATTTTGCAAAATAAATTGTGCAGACAAATTGCGGGGGGATGCGCATTCGGCCGGGAAATGGGCCTTCGAATTACATGACTTGACTTGTTTGTGCATAAGAAGTACTCCACATATTATTCCACTCTCGACTCTACCATATATAATTGGGTATGGTATGCTGTTGGTTGATCATATATTATGTGTACTCTTCATTTGAGCATACATTTGTCAGTCTTAACCATTATTATACTTCAGCCATATTATTTGCAGACCATGAACTAATATATTCAATACAAAATAAAAAAGATAAAGTGATGCATTGCTAAGTTCTTATTATTCCTGCGCAAAAATTACAAAAAAAGAAGTTCTTATTATTTCTAAAGGCAAAGGAACAAACTAATAAAATAGTTACTACTAAATATCTATGACAAACATGCGTAGAACATATTTTCATGCATGCAGAACCAAGATAGTGGATTATTTGAGTACAAGTATTCAAAATTCTCAACAATTATGATACACATATATATATATATATATATATATATATATATATATATATGTGTGTGTGTGTGTGTGTGTGTGTGTGTGTGTTACCTACCCTCTTACGCCTGATGGCAGATGGATAATTGCTAGATAAACATAGCAATGTTAATCCCTTAAAACACAGGAGAGAATTTCATTTTTGGTTAAAGTGGTCATGCGAGCATGAATTTGATAAACTGCATTTGCCATAAACAAGTTTAAAATATCGATAAAATTATGAAGGAATGAGTGCCACTTTCTTCTGAATGACAAAATTCATGACCATAAATAGTGGAACAGCAGGGCAAGGTACACATCTCGCAGCTCAAAATTACACTCGCTATTCCCTTTAGAAAAGGATATATTACACTTATAATTGATGTAAAATATACACCATCAACCTCGAAGTAAGAATGGAAATAAAAAAATAAATCCACCTTTACATCAATTATACAGGGAAAAAATGTAAGCTGATGAAAGAAACTTTGAGATTCATATGATGGAAATCTCATGGCAGTGAATCTATCCTTTCCAACACTTCTAATCTGGCCCTCCTCCTCCAGCCATTCATGGTGGCAACAAGGTTGATTAGCCCGACAATTTGACTTTTCGTGTATTCCTAAAAGTTCAAAAAACCAAGGCATGACATAAAAGTATGCAGACCTTTAGAAAGGTTCATTATTTAGCTTGGGGTTAAAATCTTCTTACCGGATGAGCACGCGCCCAGTGAACATATTCAGTTTCTGGAAGGTAATAGGCCTGTCCAAAGGGTGTAGGGACAAGATAATACTTAGTAACCGCAACCTATAGAATATGATATGTGACAAATACAAGCGCAAGAAATCTTCATCTTATACTTGCCTTGATAAAAGCTTCGACTATCTGCAGTTTTGGCCTCACATCAAAAGAGACTATATGCTTTAAGCCATTAATCAAAACCTGAAACAAAATGAAGATCACCACACTTCACTTCATGGCAAGAAGATTAAAAACTTCAAGTCCACCAGATATGCATCAGGCTAAAAGTAAACCTGAAGATCCAGCGACATTAGTGCCCGTCCCTCATTAGTACACTTCTTCACCCTGAATGACCTTCAATGAGAGCTTCAGCAACAATTTCAACTCCATACTCTAAGAGAAGGTCTTGAACCTGTATTATACGGTTATTAACATATATTCAATTTATTTGTTTCTCTCTCATGCAAGGAAAACTAGTTACTTTTTTTTTTAAAAAAAAAAAAACCTAGATATTTAGTTCTCTAATCATAAATACATCCATACAATTCAAAACTTCAGATAACCGCCAGAGGCAAGCCAAACAGACAAATCAAGTAGACATCAGAGTTTTACGAAGAGCAGATAGAACAAAGAGGATATTTTATTTCATTACATTAGTTATTGATAATTGAATCAAATAAATAAAAACTCCTGCTGCACAAATATGCTTGGCAGGGATGCACTTCATCTGATCTTTATCCCCAATACTTCTAGGAGAAATTTCTAAAGAATACAGTGATCTAAGAAGGATGCAGTGCATTTAAGTTCTAAGTAACAATATAATACAATTAGAACTAATGCCAACAAAAAAAAAAAAAAAAAAATCCTCTATACTATATGCAAATATCCTGTAGCTAAACAAAAGCGTGCAAATATTTGACTACATTGAACTAGCTCTTACCTCCTTCCGGATGCCCCATGGGCAAGTCGTGTCGTGTAGTGCTTAAACTCTCCCAGCAGTAAATCAACATAACTATAGGCAAAAGACATGTTAACAGTCAAATCTTTTTCAGCACAGAATTCAAATGTCATGCATGTTAGAAACAAACTAAGACTACTTGGGTTGAGGAGATGTATACCATTCACCTATCGATTTCATTTCTATGATAAATTGGTGCAAAGAGCTTTATTTACCTCATCACTAGTATGTATCACATGGAACAAGACCTTTGCCAAGTTGAGTTGCTGGTTAATCCTTTCCAGTCTCTCCTTTAACAAGCAACTATACCATAATTTTATCATGTAAAAGCACCATATGGATATTTATTCACTCAGAAGTTCGACTTTAAACTTGGTAGGAAGAATATGGTAATTCTTACTTTACATTTTTTTTTCTCATTTTATCTTTTACAGATGACTTTTGTAAGTTGAATGTCAAGAAGTGAAACATTGAGAAGCAACCTATCATCTTTACTCCAGCCCTTCACAAAATTAGACATTTGCTCAAGTATGCATCTTACACGCTAACCATGATAGATAAAGCTTAGACCTTCATGGAAGGACTTATCCAAACAACAACAAAATTCAAAAGAAAAAAATGACTCAACTAAACTACATTTCTCTTTTATAATACAGAATCTACACGATTTTCCCCCACTGCACTTAATTATACAGATTCTAATTCTTTAAGCAATACATAAACTCCTGCCATTATAAATGTGAAATCACCAGTTGTCATGTCATAGTTAATCAAAGCATAAAACAAATTCAACTGAATACATATGTGTTTTCCCAAGTTATTGTTATAGCATCAGAATTTCAACATTGCACAAACAAACTAAATTACTGTCATTTTGATTATTGTTATTTAGTTCACTGAAACAAGAAGATTGGTATGATAACCATGACAATTGAATAATTTATGGCCCGAATATTCTTCATGCTGATTGATGCATCCCCATCTTGCCTTTGTGTCAAATTTCATGATAGATGAGTCTACAATGACATACCCGTTGTGCTCCATTCCAAGCTCTCTCACCTCCCATTTGGCATTGGTTATCCTATCAATATACCTGCTTTAACACTTAAAAAAGTCACACACATTGGAGACCATTTCATTTTGTAAAAGTTCTCATATGTTTAATTGGCTGTTCGTGAAGTGACAATAATTATAGATGCAATGCCACTAGCAACTGAAAAACAATGATGGAGCTGTTATATTGATGTCATTTGTCCTTCAGAATGTAACTTTTTAACAAGGGCTAACTGCACAAGCAATATCTACCCTATGACTCACCCATTTATGTGTAGTAGTAGTCTTGCAGTTGTTTTGTGAACATGCTGCGTGAGGTCTGGCACAGCATCCACCTGAAAGAGAAAAGCCAATCATAACCTCTTCAATGCACATCATACAATTTTCAAGTGACCAAAAAGTTGGTGATAACAACTCTGGGTATTAGGGAAGGCTACTACCAGCCACCCAAAAGTAAATTTTGACAAAAATCAGTATCTATGTTAGACCCAGCTCATAATTTTTTCCAGCTTATGTAGCTGATAAAAGCGCAAAAAGTTCATACAGACATTGCAACTACTAGCAATGAGTTTCTCCATTTATTCATAGCAGTCAGTTGTATACAACTCAAACTCTTAACACATATATTTCTCATTACGTCAAGCACAATAACATGTTCCTTTTTGTGTGATTCTGATCATGTAGTACATCAATTTAATGTAGTTGCGTAAATACCAGATGCGCATAGAAATCTTCGATAATTGCCGGATTTCTTTGCAGAAGCATTGACTGAAGATGGGTCTTTGATCTATGCAGTAAATGAGCAACAAGAGATACAGTGTCAGCAGCTGTACATCTTTCCTGCATCATGATAAAAATATAAATTATGCACAGGTCTAATCAGATGTTGCACTCAGTCAGTAAACAAGCAGTAAAACAGTACATCCACTATCAGCAAGATGAGATATGCAATGGTGATAGCATGTTGATGAGTGCGAAAAAAGGAAACTACAAAGGAAGGATTAGAAAAGCAATGTAACAAACAGATTAGAGTATAAGTCTTTTGTTTGAACTAGGACTTAAATATCCACGTCACAACAATTTCACAAAAGACACAGTAAGTTTTCCTATGTCTCTGGGTATGTGTATCACAAACATGGACAGACATACATACGGGATATCAAGTGCTGTTACACAAATGCTTGAAACCTAAAATGTGAACTTTAATTTTATACTCCCTCCATCCCGAAAAGTTTGACGCCTTTCGAGACTCCAACTTGTTATCAACAGGGCCCAACCTTTGAAGAATTCACCTTCATTTTCCATTTTGCCCTTCATTTGAATACAAAAGGGGACAATGAATGGACAAAACATGACAGCGGGGTCCACATATTTATTGGTTGGCATATGTTACTCCAGTTAGAATTAGAGCGTGAAGACATGCAAGGCAATCATTTCAAAATGGTTGGTGTGTGCAAATCAATCAACTGAACAACAAAGTTGCATGTCTTGATGGAAGACTTTCTGGTCCCAATAATACTTACTTTTTAGTTAGGTGAGACATGGGTAAGCAATGGAAATTATTGATAAAGTTACAATCATTTTTGGCAATGACACAGAGTTTGGGACAGATCAAAATGGAAAGCATGACACTTTAATGGGACGGAGTACTAAATATTGGTCCCACCATTACATCAAATAATCCACTTTACAGTAATCAACCTACACTTCTAGCATTTACACCACATCAGATATTTCAATTTACAGCAATCAACATAAGCTTTTAGCATTTACAAATGTTACTGGTTACACAGCCTAGATTGGTTCTAAATCCCCAATTGCAGTCCCATGACCTCAAATGTGACTCAATTAAAATAAAGTGCAGATAAAACAGCTAGCACATGTACCTTTAAAAAAAAATCATTTTTTCTATATGAGAAACCAATTAGTTGAACATGAAATGCTACCAAGGCTTACTCCAGAATCTACAAAAATACCTTGAGACTAAATGAGGTGCTTGGCAAGCTACTGGGTGGACTAGCTGGCATAACATCTGAAAGACTGAATGCAGTATTGGGCGACGTGGGAGAAGAGGAGGAAGCTGACGCAGGCTGTGGTTTTATCCACTGATCACACTCTTGTGTTATTCTGGACAAAGCGGTTTTTAACCTCTCTGAGGAATATGAGATGAAGGTCCTCATAAGAAGAAGCCTCACAGACACTTTAAACGCGCGAGATTGAAAATAAATGGGGAATAAAACTTAATGACATAAATGCTCACCAAAGAACAAAAAAGGAATAAAAATTCTTTGATAACAGTATGGAGGAACTAGCATTAGAAGAAACTTACGAGATAGGAAGTCATTCAGGCCTTTTCCGCTATGGTGAATATTCATCTGACAGAAGTTCTCAAATATACAGTGGAAAAAGATCCCAAACAATTGGCAGATTCCCTGTTAACAAGTAAAAATTTCCGATAAATGTACCAACATAAAAATGTAAAGAAAAGCAAAAGGAAACAAGCAGCAGATGTAACTGCGAACCATGAAGATACCTTGAAAAACTCAACATTGACTACCTCTAACTTCTGCATTAGTCTTGCATATTTATCCATCAACCTATTTAGTAAACCACATCAAGGTTAACATATCCAGGAATGTGTAAGTTATATAACACTGAATAGAATCAATTAACCTTAGAAGACTAAGTGATGATCCAGTTTGTGACCTATTTAGTAAACCACATTAAGGTTAACGTGCCCATGAATGTGAAAGTTATAAAACATTGAATCAAATATAACACCTTAGAAGACTAAGTGATGATCCAGTTTGTGCTCTCATTTCTTCATCGTTCCAATGCGAAGAATGGCTTCTTGAATGATTGGGCTTGGAAATCCGGCTTGGGAGTTGACTATCTTCATCGATAAAATCAGCAAGAAGGTCTTCATTTTCATCTTCTGAGAAGGCTGCGTTCCCATTAAAATTTTGTCCACCAGCAGTTTTTGATGTAGCTTTATTGAGCAAAGATTTTTCAAGGGTGGTTCCAGCTTCTCCAGGCACTGATGATCCATTAGGTAAAAAGGAGTCAGAGTACTCCTTAGGACTATTACTTAGTTCTGGAGAAAATGGATTTCCACTTTTAAGCCAATTCTCAAATCCACTCCTCTTTGATCCAGTTTCACCTTCATTTACTGATTTATTAGCACGTAGCAATTGAACATTGGAAATCCTATTGGATGAAACAATAAGAGCTGCTCCATCACCGAAAAGGCCAGCAAAGCTTACTACTTGTATAGTTTCAGGTGGCATTGTCAACCAATTCTCTTTTTCCATCACCATTTTCAAAGCCTGCAAGAGAAAATGAAAAATTTTTAACACATACAAAAACACACGAGGAAAACAAAAAGCGGAAGAACTTTCTGTAAAAAGTCGAATCAACCTGTGCTTTTCCAAAAGAAACAAGATAAAATCTAATCTTCATATATTTGAGATGCACTTAAATGGTTCCATATTGAGCCACTGTGGATTTAGATATCAACGACAAATATATTTTGGATGATAAAAGATTAAAAGGAGTTTTGCATAACCAGCTCATAGATAATTGCAGTTACTACTGCTTCTGTCACATATGCCTCTATGATTATCAGGCCCTACTAGCATGCAATACATGTATATGCTAATACAAACTATGAATGTAAAAAACTTCAAATACAGAAGCATGTACGATGGGAAACATAGCAAAAAACTTTGTTGTTGACAACAATTAGTGATAATGGATATCAGACTCTTCAGTGGACAGCAAAGCAGATACCTATATAAATCAAGTAATGAAATATTTGCCATTACCATATGCAACATCCACCATCATCTTAATCTTGGACTCAAAAGAAATCTATAATAAACATCCTTTCTGGCCCATTTCAGTAAAAGGAAATTGAACAACTATTGATTACGCAAGCTTTGACACAAGTAAATATTAGGGGAGATTTCAATTTGACGGGTCTCTTAGTTTATAGTAGGAATATTTCTCAAATCTGGGTCAAATTGTGGCTCTTTGGTAAGCTTCCCTTTGAAAATTTCACAACCCATGCCTAGAATTGGTATAACTGAGTTTATAACTGAGTCAAACTTACATGTATGCTTTGCCGATGGAAAGAAACAAAGTAATTTTCACAAACAGTTTTGACTTTCTGCCTGAACTCAACTGCTTCAATCCCACAGAAAGCTTCCCCAGACAAGACGAAGGTGTTCAAATCTTCATAATTTTTCAAAAATTGATAAGTGCTAGTAGAACAAACAGCTGAAGAAGAAAGCAAAACTGCGACACGGCTTGTTACAAGCTGCCAAAGATTCCTCCGACCTCTTCGTAAGGTATGTGAAACCAAGGTTGTAGCATCTTTCCGTAGCTGAAACCACGGAGATCCACTGCTCGAAGCTGCACTTCCATCATCCCTTTCATTATTTGCATAATCTGCATGCCTGAAGCCATTGCTTCCATCAGTATCAGGCAGAGTCGGAGAAGTAATTGCTGGCTCTTGAACAGAGGACAAAATTTCTGTGTCATCGTTTGTTGTAGAAAGCTTCTCATCATATTTCAAGGAATCGAAGAACATGTTGATTTTGGATCCCCATAATGAAAGTCACTTGAAAGTCCATGAACATCATCTGGTTTCTGCTCCAAAAATGACATTTTATGTTCAGAAACCTGAGACAGAAACCCAAAAAAAAAAAAAAAATCATGATCCAGTACTGAAGGATACCATGACTTTCAGAGGTATGCAAAGTCCTCTTCTGACAATATACATTCCTACGGGAACTAAAGAAACTCATACACACTCAAAACAAACTCATATAGCTACAACCGGGATACAACATGATAGCAAATAAGTTTCGAGGTTAAAAACTGCATGTAAGATCAAAAGACTGAAAAAGATCCTTTAGAATACAGGTAAGCAAAGTAACTGCAACTCAATAGCATCAAAATGTAGAGGTGCATATCCAACTTCAAAAGTAAAAGCATTTCATAAGTAAATATATGAGCTGAAAGTCCTTGAGACAACATAAAATACATTTTTATAGAATACTAACCAAAAAGGAAAATCATTAAGCACTGACATTGAACCTAGAAGAAATTCGGTTTGCCATGGCCTATAGAGGGTGATGAACTGTTGGTTGGGATAGGCATTCTAGTGGTAATAAAAATTTGGAAATAGTTCTGGAAGCAAAATTACTTAAAGGTTTCTAATGATGCTGATGTCAGAAATTTTGTACAAACAGTTATTCTGCAAGGAAACATAATTGGACACAATCTCTGAAGTTTGTCTTATATGTTGTAATGGTAACCAATTACAGTAAATCAAAGGTTAGGTTCTCGCTGAAGGAAAATTTATAAAACCTCACACACACATGACATAGCTTTCATCACTTGCACTGAGAAGTGATGTCACTGAATACAAAAGATGGATAAATTCTGGAAAAAAAAATAGTTTCTTAATCTGCTTTGGAAGTTTAAGAGCTAAATCCTAATAGCTTCCTTTGCTGCTTCTGATAACTATTTGAAGTGCATTCTGGTTCTTCCATACCTTTACCATCCATTAACACATCTTGACATAGATTGCAAACTAAATTCCCCACTCCCACCCGCAACTCCTAATATTGTGTCACCAAAAGGAGAATTTCTAGACTTGTACAAGAGACAGCACATATGCATAGAGCACTGAAGACTAGAAGGCAGAGAAAGTCAAATGCAATAACTCAAGAATACTCATTACATAACTCAAGGGAAATTAGAAATCTTTACCTCATCCTCCAGCTGGAAGCGCAACACATCATAATACGAACACATCAACTTGAACAGGACAGCTAGTGTTGCTAGTAAACACTCCCTGAATTTGGATTCAGGTATTTGCATGCATAGGTCACTGTAGGTAAGCCTGGAAATGAGTATTGTAACTGTTATGAAGACATCCACAACCAATGCAGCAGCTATGAATTAAACATGAGCTAGCAGGGAATGTTACTTGTACCTAGAACTTTGAGCATCGTGATTGTCTAGATCCTGAAAAAATCAAAAGCAGTTATTCAGATGTAAGAAAGCAATCGGCAAAAAACTAGACACAATTCAGAAGAGCTTATGACATACATTTGCATCCAAAGGTCTTTTATCAAAGTTTCCTATGCTGACATTGGTCAAAACTGTGTATGCACATTTGTGTCTATTATAGCACAATCAACTTTATTGAAATCCTAGTTGAAGAAACAGTCCCACAAAAGTTAACAAGGGAAGGAGGAAGAGATAGAGATGGAGATAGATCAAAGAGGAGGAAGAGATAGAGATGGAGATAGATTAAAGGGAAGGAGCAACAGAGATAGATAGATATATAGACGGATAGATAGATACAGCAGCGATTTGAGAGAAAGCAATGACGAAAAAGGACAACAGGTATGACTACAACTCAAGCCTTACTGAACTTATCCTCTTCTAGAATTCTTTCATTTCCAGACAATTCAAATCTTAAAAAGAATCATGAAGAATAGCATCACAATTTTCAGAATACCAAGAATTTTTTTTTTTAAACTAGCATAGCTACATAGCATTTAACTCATAGTACAGAGTTGTTGAGAGTAGCATAGCATGCATTGGTTCTGGAGGCTTACAACAGTTGGCCGAATTTCCATCATCATATACAAAGTAGGCATATATAAGGTTTTTCAATGTAAATGGTAGCTTTGATATTAATACAACTCCAATCTAGAATGATGAGCAGAGCTCGTAATTTTAAATGCATAAGTTCACCATGTAAATGTAAAAAGAAAAAACACCATCTAAAAATTATAATCACATGGATATACCCCTTTCACAATAGTCTTCAATACGGAATGTGTTTCAGAGATAACCTCCTGCATAAAAAAGCTTTGTATTTTCTCGGCAAGCCCAGCAACATCCCCAATCAAAGCATAAGCATCAAGCACCTGCACCCAAAAAAATTAAAAAAAAAAAAAAAGAGAGAATGGGGCATTAAGAAATCTCAGCGCCCGCTTCATGCTTACAAGCAATCAAATTACATGGAAAAGGAAAATAAGCCAAGGATGAGAATTAATTAAAGCAAACACAATTTTAACATAAAACTAGTGTTTCCAAATCTCAAGTGTTCAAGTTATGAGAAACATAAAATAAGAAATTGACTTATAGACTAAAATATGACAAATACTACTTGAAAAGTGAGAAAATAAGTTATGGAAGAGATAAAGATGTTAGAATTATAAAGTAAGAAATTGAACTGAATGAAAAAACCTTGAACAAGATTGATGTACTCGATAGCACCCAAAATTTAATTGATATTCCATTCATAAGCAAATCTGAGGTACTTACAGTGATATAGGAATCCTCTTTGAAGTCCTGGCAAACTTCTATTAGGAGTGAATCCAGCTTTTGAAGTGTTTTTCCCAGCCAAACCTGCAATAAACTCGCAGAGAAATCACAAATACATGAGAACTGCTAACCATAAGAACATCATATAGCCATACTTAGCAAAAAGAAGAAAGGAAGCAAGCAGAAGTTTAACTACTTTCCAAACTGAACCAATAAAAAAATTGTGGCTCAAGCTGTTCATGACTGGATATTCTAAGAGTTCGAGTGCAGTTAGCCAATTCACCTCAACACCACGGCTCATCTCTTGTACAGCTGAAAGCTCTGACAAACTATCTAGAAGTTGCAAATACTCTGATAACACTTGGAAAGCCTGTCCACGCATGTAAAACATTCAGCAGTTTTCTAGATGGATTTAGATAAAATGACACATTCCTTAAGAAGAAGTAAAAAGAGTTACTTCAAAACTAAGGTAGGATACCACAAAAGTGTGTTAGAAGCAGGAATGACACCTTAGAGAAGTTCCCCTCCTCAACAAGAGTTTCAAGAACAACTTGCATGTCTAATGCATGGCGAAGCTCAGTCACAATCGGAAGCATGTCCTGCAGGTAGCAGCTGTAGTTATAAGCTTCACATGTGCAAAATGTGCCAGAGAGAACTGAGAGAGAGAGAGAGATGCAATAGCAACAACAAGGACGCAGCAACAAGGATAAGAATGCAACAACCTCTTAGTAAGCATTAGTTGCAAAGGAGATAAAAATCCAAAGAAAAAGCATGTCCGCTTGCTTCATGTCTCAATCATGAAATTCAGAAATTAAATCTTTTTGACGCACGTAAAGCTCATTACATGCCCCTTATGTGAACATTTCACATCCTAGACCAACTTCTACCTCACAAGTCAACCATACAATTAATTTCCCAATAAACAAGCATAAGGAAAAATTGCTAGGCAACCATGTGAAAAGTGCATATGCATGCACTTGATATGCACTTGTCAAAAACAACAGAAAATGCATAAACATGGAGAAACATATAGAAAATCACACATTCCTTTTGATGAAACCAAAAATGGTTACAATTGTATCATAGATACAGAATAAACCTCCTGAAAAAATTAATGGAAAAAAAAAGCATTTCATAAAGGACACTGACAGAAAAAGAGTAGAAAGTAGAAACCTTGGCCAAATAAATCAACTCATTCTACATGTGTCTCCGTGTGTAAAAGGAAAGAACGAGATCAACTGATTGTGCCAAAACTAAAATGTAGGAGGTACCAGAAGTGCTTGTTTCTTCCTCGAACTTTTGGTAACAATGAGATCTCTGGATACCTCATTCCTTGATGAAACAAGGTGCCTTCGCCCATTCTGCAGGGATTACAAAGGATAAAGTACCATGAAAGATATAAACTTCAAGAACACATTACTAACACAGACTAGAAGCACTTTATATGCATAACAACTTCAAGATGTTGCACTATTCTGAGCTATTTAGATAAGAGAGAGTTAAAGGCAACAATATCACCTGCTTACCATGCAAATAACATTTGCAACCTTTAAATCTTTCTCCAATTCTCGTACCAAATTCATTCCCTTCACTAGGAAATGCATCACACAATGTTAAGCTATCAGATTTAGCAGACAAATTTGCAATTACAAGGTAAAGTATTTAACAGGTAAGGCTGGAAACAAAGCACACAAAAAGTCAGGAAGCAGATGCTCCATGCCACTGTCAAAGAAAATTAATAAAAGGGGAGATAGCATAATGAGATGGTATCTTCAACGATAAAAATAAACATGAAAAAAAATTACAGGTAGTGATATTGAATGGGTGTATAAACCTAACTAAAGTTAGAAGCATAGATTCTGATACTCACAAATAACATGCATTAAGAAAGCACCTTAAAAATGCCATAGCTATAGTCTTACAATAATACACTCAAATTATCCATTTTTTTCGATAATTATCCAGAAAGCAGAATAAACATACCCATTTCTTCATGATGCTCCATTACATGGCGTGATAAACGCTCAGAAATTCTATCCAACTTGCTAATCTAAGAGCAGCCTATACATAAAAAGCATACACAAAAGTTAATAGTGAACATAAAGATATGCAGATATTCTAAAATTGTTAGCACATCAGCAACGGTGGTTTAAAAACGCATCGAAGGCAGAAACACAAGGGCAGCTAATGACAAGAAGATGGTGATAAACGAGAGTGATTGCAAAAGAGTTTTTAATCACAAGAAGACCATATGCTAAATTAGTGCATTAAGCAGTCTGTTGTTCAAATTGTACATTAAAATGGGTTTATAATAATTAACAAGCTTAGCTAGTCAGCATTCTGTCAGAAATAAGGTTCCCATGCCCTGCCGATTTGGGCTTATTGCTTTTTTAAGATAATATGATGGCTCATTCATTCTCTACAAGTATCATTTTTCAAGAGCTAAAGAAGCAAGGGTGTTAAAATCAGGACTCATAAAGAGGTAAAACACACCTAAGTTCAACATTAAGCATCATTGCATTTAAGGCTCGCAAGGGCACTCTACTTACACTAGACTCATAACCAATTAATACACAAAAATTCTACCCTATGCACCAACTAAATACATGGTAAGTACAATAATTTGAACTGGCCCAAAAGAAGTTATGATCATATTAATGGCATTGGAAGTAGGGTAAGTCAAAGCACGAACTCAAGGATCAGTAATTCTCGACACTGTCATGATAATGATGATAACTAACATGCATTTTATGATATTTGTTGTGTGATCATGATTGTTATGCTTTGAACAACTGTATTTTGTCAGCATTCAACATATCAATTCTTGAAAGAAGGAAATGCAAATTGCAATACAGCTCAATATGGTGAGAGAGATGCAGGTGTCACCTTTTCCTCGAAATATGCAAGCTCATTCTTTCACAGGGAATATGCTCTAATACATATCTTACTGGATCAAACTCCTAGCGTCCACAAGAACAAGTGCGTCAGTAACATATTGCTAAACATGATGAACTATGCGATTGCATCATATTCAGAACATTGAGCGTGAAAAAGGAATATGAGAAATTTCTAGGCACTTTGAACATTAAACTCCAGTAATACCAGTCTTTGATGTAAACCACTGCCAATTTTGAATGTCCAAGGCAATTTTCAGAATACAACATGATTTATGAAATTGCTTTCACTTTTCAACAGTGCAGTAAAGAAAAGGATTAGGCACAATGACTTTTTGACATTGAAGTGAACCTTCCTGTTCTCCATACATAGAGTTATCCCTCATTCATTGGTTAGTCATGCATTCATTTTCTTTAAGCCAGTTAGGTCGCAACCTTTCATTACATTCATGTTGTCAGTAGGTCCTACTCTCTCATTAGCATTAACATTGTCCATAAAAATACAACTGAAGGATGTAACTCGAGGCTGAGGAGCAACAGTTACTTTCTACTCAAAATTGATTCTGGTTGAAAACCAATATTCAAGCATAGACAAAATCTTTCCAAGTAAAGAGAGAGGATTCAAAAGACGTTTTGACAAAAATCCACATAAAGACCAATTCAACAGACAAGAGCAGTTTGGTACTCACAAATGTTGAGGGCTGCGGCAATGAATTTCAAATTTGTAGCAAATTACAAGCCAAACGACTCTTTTTCCTTCATGTAATCCATCTACACTATTAATCTACCAAAATTTTAATGATCTACGAAAAACTCCTATTGTACTGTTGTTTTGCTACAGAAGAAAACCAGTCACAACGCCAAACTAAAGTCAACCAGATCAAATTGATAAATGTAATACAATGATGGATATCTCTTGCATCAGATTAAATTTCTAAGATACATAACAGAATTCAGATCTAGCTAAAACAACAGAATCTACCTCTTCGTAGAATTCTTCTTCAAGTTCCTCAATAACTTGACCATCAGGTTCTTCCATAGATTGAACTCAATTCTTCAGAACTAGATGCAAGACTATATCTCTGGTGCGGGGGAAGTGAAGCAAGAACTCGAGCAGCAACAGCTGCTGCTGCAGCTCGTTCAGGAACCTATAAGCCATGCGAATCCACACTTGTAAAATTACAATGCGTATAAAAGCCAAAAGAACAAAACCAAAAAACAACAAACAAAAAAAGAAAGAAACGGGCACAGTACTTTCTGTCGAGGACCCTTCATTCCCAGATCAAAACTACAGTGACCCTACCATAAAATGATGAAAAACAACACTCATTGTCTAAATAGTAAGGTTTCTTAGGCCATAGATACAAACCAAGCACATGTCAATGCTGATGCAGATAGACATGCTCATTTGTATACACATTTCTAGAACTCTAAACTACATCACATGAAGAGCAAGACTGCTATAGGTGTCGATTTAACTGACGGGGATTTTCAATTTCAGTTGACCATGATGAATCATTCTATTGAGATTTAGCAAAATTTTGTTTCATTCCATTACGCCAAAAAAAAAAAAACTAATCTCTTCAAACAAGTAGAAATAATGTGTATATGGGTGGTTTCACATGAGACACTAACAAATATAAATTTCACGTACGGCAGCATAAACCTACTACTCCATTATCTGATCTTTTTCATCATCTTGCAATTCATATTCCTAATCATGTCAAAGATGGAAAATATCAGAATCATGCAAACACATATACTCATACTCAGGAAGTCCAAATCAATTTAACTTCTTTAAATCCACAGGGAAAACTAGTAGGAACACAAACTAATGCTCAAGTTTCTAAAGGGAATTCTAACTAATGAAACTCACTTAATTCTTAATCTCCATATGCTTAAAATGAACCACATCCCAACGTTTTTAGTCTCATTGTCATCCCAGTCTAGCATAACCAATTAAATAGGTTTTCACCAGCAGGGAAACAGATTTGTCACATGTACTAGCATAACCAAGTAAGCCAAACACAAAAAGAATGACCTACAAAACAATCATAGTACGTGATTGTCAACCTAACACCCACTTTTATATATAAGCAACAGACAAATGTGAAAGTTGCTCAGTTAGAAAGATACTCATCACTATATCTCCTCACTTCCGCAGCACAGTAAACATCAATCAAATGCTTATCCGTTCAACAAGTATACATTGCAACACAAAATAAAGAATCACCAAAATTGCTCAATACTACCACTGCCTACCCTGTACTTCGAAAAAACAAACCTGATAGCCCATCCAAAGAAAATTTAAATACTTAAAATTAAACCTATAAAGCATCATAAATTGCACAATCAGAAAAGAGTAGCTAACTCCATTCCATCAACTACACGAACATCATATGAGTATAAACATATACACATCTCGTAATTATAAGCAATTGAATATTCGGTCTAGGTGGGAAAAATACCTCGGGGCGATCGGAGGAGGAAGGGAGGAGGCCGAGGGATCGAGCAGAGCGGACGGAGCTGAGAAACTTCTCTCCGACTTTGGAAAAATCCATGCTGCCTCCTTGGGAGAAGAGCAGCGAGCCCAAGAACAAAAATCTAGATAATTCGAATCCTTCTTCGCTCAATTCGCCGCCATTGAATAGTATGAATGGACTCAAGGGGAATGGCAGTGAGTTCGACTGCATCTCAATTCGGGGCCCCAAAATAATCCAGCATTGCGGATCCCCTGTGGAAGCTAGATCGGATCCGGTTGCCGCCGACGGATTGCCAGTTCGCAAGTGATCAAGATGCTGGAGTATTCAGTGTGTGTGGTGCGTGTGCGTAAATTGTGCAGATCAACGATTTGGTGTTTAGTAATACGCAGTGAATGTAATTGCAGTCCGTTTGGAGGCTGTTTGGTTGATTGTTCAGTGGAAAAGTGGTGGGGAGTGGACTTTTGGGCTCTGCGCCTGGGAAGGATATTCAGTCGGCTTGTTTTTGGTTTTTACGCTTTTCGTTCGCATTTATTTTCTGACAATTTACCTTATTTTTCTCTATTTAAAAAACATTTACTTTTTTTTTAAATAAGTACGAGGTTTAGAATTCTTAATTTTTCGCTTAGACTCCCTCTCACTCATCCTATTCAATCCATCCTGTTCCCTTCCCCATGAAACATTGACTTGCATATGTTTCGGTTGGGATTAGCTGTTTTTTAGGAAATATTTAAGAATAGTAGAATTTTTAAAATATATTTTGGGATATTTTTTAAACATAAAAAAAATGTAGACTACTTTTTAGAGTACCTTTTGGAGTACTTTTTAAAAAATTTTATAATATTTAAAAAACTAGTTTTTAAAAAACTGAATGATCCAACTAGTTACGACTGTTTAAAAATTATACGTAAGAAAGCTGTTTAAAAAATCAAAATTTCTACATTCCACAATGTTACATGGAGAAAGAAAATAGTGACGATGGTGTTAAAATACATCTTAAGTTAGGTTGAATGTGATCTTTCATTATAAATTGACAAAGATATGATCAAGTTCTTCTAGAAAATATAATAGAATGTGTCAATCAAACTCAAGTTTATAAATTATAAACTATCGAAAACATTTCTAATCTTTCATTATAAATTGACAAGATATGATCAAATTCTTCTAGAGAATGTAATAAAATGTGTCAATCAATCTCAAGTTTATGGACTTAAACTATCAAAAACGCTTCTAATAGGTAGCTTATTACATTGGTGCTTTGAAGATTAAAAAAGAAGATGTATTTATGATGTAATAAAAAAATCTTTCCAAAAAACTTGCTATCCAAACATATGTCATTGCTTTTATAGTCCATTTTGGGAGTTGAGATTTGATGGGAAAAGAAGAGAAATTGAGAGAAGCAAGTGGTTGCTGCTGTCTGAGAGTTTGTAAAGGACACAAAAGAATGAAAATCGAAAAATTAGGTAAGAATCTATTCTACAGCAATGTTAAAAAACCTTGGGGGGCAGAAAATGAAAGAAAGCTGAATAACGCTTCATTACATTTTCCAAAATATCACTCCCGTCCTTAAATGTATAGTGAATAAAATTTTAATGATGTATGTATCTAAAATCCTTCTATTTCTTTTTTAAACTCTCAAATAACACTTGTTTTCTCTTATCTTTTTTCTTTCATAACTTAAATCCTTGTTTGGATTGCGGTTTTTCATCGGAAAATTACATCGTTTTCCGTGATCACATTTTTCTATTACCTTTTTCCCTTACATACATCAAATCGCTACAGTAATTTTTTTTTTATAAAAAATCATGAAAAATACAATCCAAACACAACCGTTGCAACATTTTCTATCTTTTCTTTTATATCCCAAGCTCGCAAACTAGCCACTAAGAAAAGCAATTGATGTGACTGATTTTGAGTTTTTCTTGCAGAGTGTATGTGTATCAATCTTACTTGGAAGGCATGCCCGAAATCAGAGGGCGTGTTAAGGTTCAAGGTGCAATTTGCGTCACTAGAAATCCATTTAGTGACATTAGTTGCAAACTTGACAATATTAACATTGCTTTCCGGTTTACAAAATCTGGGTGCATAGTTTGATACTTACTTAGAATCTTTAAGAGCTTTTGTAAAAAAAAAATATCGTAACAATTTGATATATATGGAATAAAAAAGTGATTCGAAAATGTATTTGTGAAATTTTTTTATTATTTTTTTGGGTAGAGAACAGCAATCCAAACGTTAGCGGAATCTGTCTGCGGCTAATATAGTATAAGTTGGAGCGGGAATATAAAAGAAAAAAACTAGTCATGTTTTAGCAATTAGTATCATATTTCCTTTCCACTGGGCTTTGTTGGAATTTCGAAGTCTCTTGCTGTCTTATGGCCTGTCAACATCCTTCACTCCATTTCTGGATATCAATTGGAAGCATCAGCTGGGCTCAAATACATGAAGAGGCAAGGATAGGAGGGAACTGTTTGAGCTTCTGGAGAAATTGGATTAAACTGGGCTTTGTGATGAATTCTAGAAAATAGCGAAAGAAGAAAACAAGAGAGATGTGGAGAGACAACCACAGAGAGACGGGGATGAGTGAATCCCCACAAATAAATGAAATTTTTGAGTTCAATTGCGAGAGGCAATTACATCATGTTAGGCAAAAAAGCTTTGAAGGTTAACTTGTTTGTCTGTTAAGTCCGCTTCAAATAAGTTCTTAACGAGGCATGATCGAGTTTGAATCTTTTACTTATGAGTTTTAAATTTTAAAAGATTGGGTTGTTTATTTATTTGGCCGACCTCAAATGAGTTTTTAGCGAATCACTGTCGAATAGTTTTAATTTTTTATTTATAAATTTTTAAATTTTATAGGAATAAGTCAAACTCGATCAAAACTTGAAGTTTTATTGAACACAAAATGATGTTGGCATTTAATTCGATTAATTTGCCGACCAAGTCTAGTTTGATTGTCGAATTGCATGATTTGCCCTTTCAATTACAATTTATTTAACCAAAAATTATTTACCTGCATCATCAATATATATTCCAATATTTTTTTTTACCTTACATGCATCACATCATACAAAATATTATATTAATTATTTCAAATAATATTCCAAATAATCCACTATCCAAACGTACTAATTACTAATTAATGTTTGGTTCGTATGCTTTGATATTTTTGTATTTTTATGCGAAGCTTCGTTTTCCCTCCAAGACTTCAGTCCTTGGTACTTAGCAGCATTCATGTACTATTCTTGCTACTTAGCCCTTTGTGAACTTCATATTCAAGGTTCCAAAAGCGTTAAGATTGAACCACAGAAAGTCCAAGGACATCAAATTCTAGCTTGCATTGCTGTTTTCTATAAGAAAAATTTTACATTTCCGTAAACATATTTTTTAATTATCCTTTACTTTATATGCATCAAATCGCCGCAGTATATTTTCTGCAAAAACACTTTAAAATAGCAATCCAAATGAATTCATAGTCTTTCCCTCTTACCTCCTAATCCATTCCAGATCCCTTTTCTATCCAAAGCTCATTGCATCAGTACAGTTCTTCTCAGCTTTCTCCTTTCAGTTTTTGTCAATCTTTTGACTTTGATTATTTTAACTGCCTCTTTTGGTAAATGATGATGATCTATTTTAGCATATTTCAGATTTTTCTCTTTGTATCTATGTACGGGAATGCATAATCTATTAGTAGCACTTTGCTTCTAGGCATAAAATCACGGAGTGTGTTTGGATTGCTGAATTATTTTACATAATATTTCGCTTGCATCATAAACCCATTTTCAATTCACTTTTTTACTTCACATATATCAAATTACAAAAAAATGCTACAATAATTATTTCAAATAATATTTCAAAAAGCATTATTTCAGTTGGGGTTGTACGGTCTTCAGGTTGTAGGACTCAGGTACATTATACTATTTGATTGTTTTTAATAATATTTATTTGTTAATTTTCCCCCTTTACGCCAATAGTCGCATTTTTTTCTCCTTTCCTTTGAAAAAAAAAAGGAAGAAATGTATCATCTCGTCACAACAAATTCAAATTATTGAAACCCTACATAAAAAATTAATCTTACCCCACTCGAATAATAATTTGACAATAAAGGGATAATGACATAAAAGCCAATAACTATTTGCCAACAAAAAAAGATCAAGAAAATGAAGAAAACAATTGAAAACCCATTCCCCACTCCCCAATCCCCAGTCCCAAGCCAAACACAAGAACCCAAAGCCAAGTGTCACTCAGTCCTACAGTAGCGTCTCGGCTCTTTTGTTTTTTAGCTCATAAATTTTCTTTATTTTCATTATTACCCCCCATTTAAATTAATTAAAATAAATTAAACCACTCTTGCCTCGCCAGAAATCAATCTTCTCATTTCTTTCTTTCACCTTTCACCACCGTTGTCATCTGCTGTCCTCCGTTCTCCCCCGCCGCGATTACTTAGTTAAACTCCATTGATTTGGTGTAGGTATGGCTGCCAAACCGTCGGAGAATGGAGTCGAAGGTGATGATGAGAGAGAGGAAGAGGAAGAAGAAGAGGAGGATTCGGAAGAGGTTGAAGATGGAGAAGAAGAGGAGGAGGAGGAGGAGCCTAGGTTAAAGTATCAGAGAATGGGAGGTAGTGTGCCGTCGCTTCTCTCCAGCGACGCCGCTTCTTGTATCGCTGTCGCTGAGCGTATGATCGCCCTCGGCACTCATGCTGGATTAGTTTACATTCTTGATTTTCTTGGCAATCAAGTAAATATGTCGTTTAATTTTGGTTATTTCTCTTTCTCTTCTGCTGAATTGATTTATTTGAGTTTTATTTTTGTTGTTTGAGCTAAAATTCAGCTGAACTTTTTGGAGAATTTAGTTAGATGGTGGTATAATTCGTGCAATTTGAATTTCTTTTGGATATTATAATGTCCTCCCGGCGGTGTGCTCATGGCTTTTAGATCAGAGCTGATAATTAGTTGGTACTTTGTGGCTTTAGCTGTAGAATGCTTTATAACCAAATTATAGAGAAAACAATCTTTATTGAGCTGACTGAGTTAATGCTTGGTGAAAATATTCTTCTGCTTTCAGCTTCTAAATCACTGGCCATGAAAAACTGATTGTCCTGTGATTGAAACTTAGAGGAGTTCAGTGGAGGTACAAATCCTTTTCTGTGATTAATCAAATCTAAGTCCGCGCAGGGTCATTTTTCTCAACGCAAGGAAAAGCTTTCAGAGATCACCATGTTCTCAAAAATCTACTTTGTCTAAGAATTTGGTCTTATGTAGGGACTTGCTTTTGATTAGCTAGCATATGACTTGCTGTCAAAAGAAATGTGTTTCTAAATACTTGAATTACTTTTTGTGGCCTCAAATTGAGCTAAATCTGGGAAATTGCTTCCACCTTGGAAGATGCAATTATCTACTTATTGAGACCCTGGTGAATGTTGAGATGTCAACTGCTTGAAGTTTGTACTGAAGAGTTATATCTCTCATGGACAGGTAAAGGAATTCCCTGCTCACACAGCTGCTGTCAATGACCTTTGCTTTGATATAGAAGGTGAATTTGTTGGAAGCTGCTCAGATGATGGGTCAGTTGTAATAAATAGCCTATTCTCTGATGAGAGATTGAAGTTTGACTATCATCGCCCCATGAAGGCCATTGCTTTAGATCCAGATTATTCAAGAAAATCATCAAGAAGATTTGTAGCTGGTGGGCTAGCAGGTCATTTGTATTTTAATGTGAAAAAGTGGATTGGTTTTCGTGACCAGGTGCGCTTTCCTTATGCATTGAAGTATCTCTCATGGTTCAAATGATTTAAAATTATTTCCAAGGTTTTTGATTTCTTTACTAAAATTTGCTTTTCTTTTGTAGGTTCTACACTCTGGTGAGGGTCCTATTCACGCAGTGAAGTGGAGAAGTAGTCTTATTGCCTGGGCTAATGATGCTGGTGTAAAAGTCTATGATCTGCTAATGATCAACGTATCACATTTATTGAAAGACCACGAGGAAGTCCTCGCGCTGAGATTCTGCGCCCCCACTTAGTATGGCAGGTCAGTAAAGAACAATACACTTTGAGGTTGTTCCACTGCCTCCACTTTAAACTTTGCTTTCTCTGAGGGAAGAGCAGGAAAAAGAGAAGAAAGAATTATCCTGTCTATTTTCTGCTATGTCTATGCTAATTCTTACATATTCTGGTAATGTGGTGCTATTTGTTACAAAATCCAGTACCTTATAGTTGGTTGGTTGCTTTCAGGATGATACACTCCTGGTGATTGGTTGGGGAACTTATGTAAAAATTGCATCCATAAGGGCAAATGAAAACAAGGGAATTAATGGGGCATATAGGCATATCACTATGTCCAGTATTAATCAGGTGGATATTGTCGCTTCTTTCCAGACCACCTATTTCATTTCAGGACTTGCTCCATTTGGTGATACTTTGGTCGTTCTTGCATATATTCCTGGAAAAGAAGATGGAGAGAATGAGTTTAGTAGCAGTGTTCCATCTCGCCAGGTAATTGTTGACCATTCTGCTTCTCTAAATGGTGTGACTTTATCCTTTTTTTAAAGTCTCACAATCTCCAATGTTCTAGTTAACTCATTCTAAGCCATTTGAGTTAACTTAGTCCGCCTTTTGCCAGCATAGCTTTGGTGTTCTATTATCGACCTTGTATATGCTTTTCTATATTTAGCAATGTAGATCTTTGCATTACCCCTTTTATGGTGATTATTAGACAGCTGTTGCAAAGCAAATTTCTAGTTATAGATAAGCACTCTAGAAACTAATTATGATGGATACAAAATTGTTTGGTGGAATGCCTTAAGGTTATGTGGCAGAGTTATAAGTCAATTACATGTTGCTCTGTCCTAAAAAATGGACAGTATGACCCACTTAAGAGGATTAACTGACAGTTAAGTATTGTAAAGTTCATTTAATCCTGGAAGATTTGATTGGTCCTAACCAATTATAATTGTCCAATGTTTTGTTTTGAGCAATAATTGGCCAACATGTTATTACCTTAGCATTGTTTTGATTTACTGTTCTGCCAACAGTGTCGAGGGCACAGGTTATTGTGTTATTATGTCAAATATCCTTAGAAGCATAATCCTCAAGCATTTTGTTGCTTGTCTTTTAAGCTTTTTGTTTTTCTTTTAATGACATCTGTACCCCTTTTCTTCCTGCTTTCCAGTATTTGTTCCGGCATGTGGTTATAAGCTTCTTAAATGACTTGAACCGTATGATATAGAATCCTGTTCAAGATACATGGCATTCTCTAAGATTTCTGAACTTTTACAATCAGGGAAATGCTCAGAGACCTGAAGTGCGAGTTGTGACATGGAATAATGATGAGCTTGCAACAGATGCTTTACCTGTACATGGCTATGAACATTACAAGGCAAAAGACTATTCTCTTGCTCATGCTCCTTTCTCAGGTAAATTTTATTTGCCATACACATTGTAGACTAGTTTTCTTGCACCATATTTTTGTATGTTATATGTTTTATGAAATTTGTGGTTGAATTGAGATGACATTTGTGCTTTTGACCAAAGGTAGCAGCTATGCCGGGGGTCAATGGGCTGCTGGTGATGAACCATTGTACTATATTGTGTCCCCAAAGGATGTTGTTATGCAAAGCCTAGGTTAGTGTTTATGTTACCATTTTTCCTTCAAAATGGTTTCACATCAAAACATCCATCAAACTGATGTATACAACCAGATTGAAAAGAAGACAAAGCTATTCTGTCTGCATTTTCTATTTTAGAGGGGCATGTTTCATGTGAAGACATTTTATAATGTATTTATGATTAGGTGACCAAGAGATGTTACATAAATAACCTTTTTGGTTTCTTCGGGTATTGTGGCATTTGTCTTTGTCAGACCATCAGCTATAGCATCCTGGCATGTATGGACAATTTTAGCCCCTGTTACCATCTGTTGATGATGAATTTTAATTAGTTTCATAAAGACAGCTTCATAATGAGTCCAAAAATAAAGTAACAAGCCATTGGCCTAACAACGTACAAACCAAATAACAAAGTTGAGCGAATTTATATTGTCTAATTAGCTTTCTTCTCTCTATGGTTATCTGTCAAGTGGACTTCAGAAACTTTTGAGCTTCCGAGATGGAATTTCTTTTCACAGTCTATATGACTTTTCCAGCTCCAAGTAGAAGACATAAATCGATCTGCTTGCCATTTAATTGCTGTAATAGCTCATATTAATATTCTTTTTTTGATCAATTATTGTTATGTTCTTTTGCAATTTCCAACAGACCCGCAATTTCCAACAGACCCGATAAGGTTGTTGCTAAGTGCCTTTTAGTGATTGTTATACGTGTACTAGCTTTCATCATTAAACAACCAAATAAGTTGCTTGAGGTCATGGATTTTGCATTGTTTTTATCACGCTGTTTGAAACACTACTTTAGAACAGGGAACATATTGATTGTGTCAATTCTATGAGCAGCGCCATCATTTAATAGAGGCCTCTGGAGATTGTCTTACTGTTCTTATTTTTGTTGTTTTCTCAAGCTAGTCCTTTTGGATTTGTTCTTACCATTCTGTTTGTTAGTTCGAATGTGATGGCACCTCTACCTCCCCACTCTCGGTTGTTTTTGGAAAAGAAATAGAATAATTAGAAACAAGTGTTGTGCGATGCCGTTCCTACATGTCTTCTTTCTTTTTCTTTGCTTTGATCTTGGGCTGTTAGATTATATACTGTAGGTTGTATGTGATAGCTTGTTGGGTTATATATGTAGATGTCTCAACTCAATTTGCAAATTTGTTCCATTGGTGGGTTACAGGGATACTGAAGATCACATTTCTTGGCTTCTTCAACATGGATGGCATGAAAAAGCCTTGGCTGCTGTTGAAGCTGGTCAGGGTCGTAGTGAACTTCTTGATGAGGTATTATGTTTGAATAGTTTCTCCCTTGCTCCTCTGATGATATCACACTTCAAAACCTTGTCCTGTGCTGACTGGTTCAACATAGTCTTCTGAGTTATCTTTTTTTATTGTGATTTAGTCAACAATGAAATAATCTTGACATTATATGTTCCACACCTTTAGGAATGCCATGTTTTGCCAATGTTACTCTTAAATATATATATATTCATGCCAAATTAACTGCAACTCTACATGGAAAATGGATTTCATTTAATAGATTTTTAAGAAACAATTGTTTCATTGTGCTTTTGTCCTCCACTTTAGTTTTTTGGGTAATTGTTTCTTCATAAATGGTAGACTTTTTTTGGGTATTGCAAGAACCAGTTGACTACTATGACAACAAAACAGTTAACGAGTTTGATTATAGAACATTTGTTGGAGAAGTAGTGTTTGCAATTAAGAATTTTGGTTTTGTTGCCCCTATCCTTCTATTATACCTATCACCAACTGTTTCAGATAGGACCAATAGGCAGTTAACCTCTCTGTGCATCTGTTGGTATTGTTGGCTATCACATACTATTTGATATCTCATTTTCTTCATCCTTGAGTTTAGATTCCCACTACTGTAGCTTTCCTTTGTTCCATCTGGTCCTTCCTGTCAAGGAAGCTTCTTTAGTTTATCATGAATAATATGATGAATCTACTGCAACTAGTGATTAAATAGCCATAATATTTGTTTCTTTAATTGAAGTTAAAGGTTAAAAACTAGTATTGATAGTTTAAAGGCTTTTCTGATCTATGAATGAAGTCTAAGATTGAAGAAAAGGAATAGGGAGATGTTTACTATGGGTTGTGCTTGTGTTTCAGGTCAATTTACTGCAGTTTGTGCATTGTACTTATTTGTATTTTGTTGACATTGAATTGAATAGCTATTCACATGTTCAAAATGTAGCCCTACTTGTAGGATTGTATTAACAGAACTTTTGTTGTTGTTGTTGTTTTTTTTCTTTTTTCTGCTTTTGTTACCCCTTATCAGGTAGGTACAAGATATCTCGACCATCTGATTGTGGAAAGAAAGTATGCCGAAGCTGCATCTTTATGTCCCAAATTATTGAGGGGATCAGCATCAGCATGGGAAAGGTACTGATAACACTGATGGTAATCTTGAATTTTCATCTTTGATTACTGAGCTTGGTTACTTGACACAGATGGGTTTTCCATTTTGCTCATCTCCGTCAGCTTCCTGTATTGGTGCCATATATACCAACAGAAAATCCAAGATTACGTGATACTGTTTATGAGGTCTGCACATATAGTGGCTTGAATTTGGTTTTGCTTAGTAAATTATTATTTTTTTAAATTCAGTCTTAGTAGTAGTTATTGTAATATAGGTTGCTTTAGTAGCTCTGGCAACAAATCCGTCTTTCCACAAGGACCTTCTGTCAACTGTTAAATCTTGGCCGCCTGTAATATATTCTGCATCGCCTGTTATCTCTGCCATAGAATCTCAACTTAACACTTCATCAGCAACTGATCCTCTCAAAGAGGTTAGTTCTGAAGGTCTTTTCTTTTAGTTTAAATTATGCTTCTTGCTAAGATATGCTGTTTTACTGTATTAGGCGTTGGCTGAGTTGTACGTGATAGACGGGCAGTATGAGAAAGCTTTTCGCTTTATGCTGATGTAAGTGCCCATTCAGGATTTGCTACTGCTGTTTCTATTTATGTCAGGCCTTTTTGATAAAAACATCTAGTTGTTGCTACTAAATGCTGCAGATTTTGATTAAAGAAGTTTTGCTCTGTAGAAGCATGCTTTGAGCTGCTGTTTTATTCCATATTGATTTGTCCTTCCATCATTTCAGACTATGAAGCCGGACATATTTGATTTCATTGAGAAGCACAATTTACATGATTCAATTCGTGAAAAGGTATGTTTAAAAACATCCCCACTCAATGAGATTTAATATTCTCTGATATAACAAGAATTTCTGTTGACCTTGTTGTTTCCTCATATTATGGTAGTCTATGGAAAAGGAAGATGAAGGTCTTAGTGAAGTCACATTGAGCAGCTTAATTGAAGCCTGCTTTCGTTTCTCTATTACATTTTTCCTAACACTGTCCTCAACGATGGTCTCAGGTTGCCCAACTTATGATGATAGACTGCAAACGTGCAACTTCATCGTTGATACAACACATCAACCTAATACCTCCTCCAGACGTTGTCTCACAGCTTATAGCTGCAAGGGACAAGTGTGATTGGCGATACTTTTTGCATCTGTATCTTGATTCACTATTTGTGGCAAATCCTGTTACTGGAAGAGATTACCATGACATGCAGGTTGGTGTAAATGATCAACTTTAATACCTTGAGATCCTCTTCTGATTCAAGTGTGCTCCCCTTCATTTATGGACCTTCATTTCCTGCTAGTTTCGATATTTTTGCCATAAGTACCTTAAGATGTCTCGAGTCTACTAACTACTCTTTCATTTCTTCCCCTTTTCTAGTTTTCTGTTCATGCTTTATTTCCTGAATGAATGTGATGAGTATTATTGAATATGGGAACCCTATGGTATCACTAGATGATCTTAGCTGGCATTGAGAACCTTTTTGTCTTGTTCTTCTGCAAATAGCCTCATAATCCATTATTTTGGCCTTGGGAAATCACAATTACCATTTTCAATGCTGTCATTTTTATTTGTATGAATCTTCTAGATGAGCTCTTTGGTCAGTTTTCAGATGCTTTCTTCTATTTGGGGACTTCAGTTTAAGTTTGCTTTACATACTATTTCTAAGTTTGCTCTACATACTATTTCTTCTGTTCAGGTTGTTCTTTCATGTGGATATATGTAATTGCTTGTTTTCAGCGGCTTCTAACATCATTATTTCCTTGATGCTTTTAATAGGTTGAGCTCTATGCAGATTATGATCCAAAGATGCTGCTTCCCTTTCTACGCAGTAGTCAGCATTATACACTTGAAACGGTTTGACTAAATATGCCTCATGTCTCACAATCTTTTGTGATGTTTCTTTTCTGTGACAGTAGTGAAATTTTCTGTTAGGCTTATGAAATTTGTGCCAAAGAGGGTTGTTACGACAGCAAGTTTTCATTCTTGGAAGAATGGGAAATTCAAAGCAAGCTCTTGCACTTATCATAAATAACCTTGGTGACATTGAAGAGGTAATTATCAATTCTTCCAGCTAATTTATGAATTTGTTAATACTACTTTGAAAGTTTTTAGTCATGGGATTAACTTCACGATTTCTGCAGGCTGTAGAATTTGTGAGTATGCAGCATGATGATGAACTTTGGGAAGAGCTAATAAAGCAATGTCTCGATAAACCAGAAATGGTATTTTTTTTATTTTACTTTATTTTATTTTTGGGCTAATCAAAGTGTTTGTTGATGCCTCATTATGTATTGTAGTTCCATGCTTGCATTTTTAAGCATTTAATATTTTTCTCGGCAGGTAGGTGTTCTTTTGGAGCATACAGTTGGCAATCTTGATCCTCTGCATATAGTTAGCATGTTACCTGATGGGTTGGAGATTCCTAGGTGAGCTTCTTATGGATTAGTTTTTCTTGTTCTTTAACTTTTCCCTGTATTAATTTTTCCTTTGTATGAAATATATGGTGAACAGCAGGACTAAAATACCAGCAGAATTGTTTATAGTTGCTTGACTACCAGCTAATCACTTCATATTGCAACCTTCCTACCATCGTGGAGGAATTATTTGCTTCCATGACACAAGTTAGAGACCTCCTGATAACATGAGCTGGTTTTCATTTTAAACCTTGTTACTTGGAGATACCTTTCCATGCTTCTTGGTTTTTCACATTCTATGAATTTCATAGTCAAAATTAGTAGGTGCATTTGGAGGACGTGATCTGATGCAGCATGATTTCCACATACTGAAAGGAGATTAATAGAACTTCATTAATGTTCTCAGCTGCTATTTATGCAGCTACTGTGTCATAGTTGATTGGGTGATACTCCATTAAGGACACTGATATATGCAGCTAACATTCTTCATTTTCTCTTCCCTGTGATCTGGAATGACACTGGATGTTCCTCTGAAGTTCCAATTCTACAAGAAATTTTAAAGCTTTTCCTTTTCCTCTAACCTAACGATTGTTATCAAGATAATTCACTTTATACGCCGTAATATACAATAGTGGGACCTATTGAAGCAGACTTGATGGTTCCTTGTTTTTGCAGTAGTATTTAACGGACTCTTTTTTTTCCTAAAAGAAATTATCACGTCTTTTTCCAATGCTGACTGTGTCAAAACTATTCATCCTTGTAGCCAAAAATTTCACATTCCTTTAGTGTAATGTCCATGGGATCTTGTGTTCTGCCCTTCATTTCAGGCTGAGGGACCGTCTTGTTAAAATCATCACGGACTACAGGACAGAAACTTCTCTCAGACATGGTTGTAATGATATCCTGAAGGTTTGCAAATTAACTGCATCTCTCTTTTGCAGTGGTGTCAATCTCAGACTCCTCTTGATGCTATATTGTGACTGTGAACTGACAGGCTGATTGTGTCAACCTCTTAATCAAGTATTACAAGGAAGCAAGGCGTGCCATATACTTCAGCAATGAAGAAAATGAAATCCGTGCTAAAAGGGATGAGACTAAAGCTTCTTACTTGGGAGAGAGAGTTGCGGGCATGAAATCCATGGAGGTTAAGTCAAAAACCAGGGGAGGTGCAAGGTGTTGCATGTGTTTTGATCCCTTCCCAATACAGGAAGCATCCATTGTTGCATTTTTTTGTTGTCATGCCTATCATACTACTTGTCTCATGGAATCCCTAAATTCCGTCACTAGCAAGAAAGAGCCAAAAACAAGTCCAAGGAGGTGTTAGCATACTATGAATATGAGAATGGTGATGTAGACGAGGATGAAGATGACGCATCTTCTTCAGGTGCTCCTCAAATGCGATGTATCTTGTGTACTACAGCAGCAGGCTGAATAGGTCGCGAGTTCCAATTCTTCTTCTTGTGTGTCTGTGATTGTTTTTGCTGCGGTTTGTGTGCATATAGCATGAGTATACTTTCTTCATCAATTCTGTTCTTTTTTTTTTCCCCTTCTTTCTGTACAATAGTTATCAATTTTTTGGGGCTGTTTTAGTGGCCCTTGAGATGAGGGTGGAGTGGAATGGATGATGTAGTATAGACGGATTTCGGGGCGCTGCTTGCAGTTGTGTTGAATAATGCAACTGGGAAGGTTGAAAGGCATTGGTTGACCAATGTTGGAATTTCATGCTATTGAACAACCTGGGGTAACAAGCGCATTAACTTGCATGTACTGAATGTATTCATATATTGTCATGCTGATCCTGTATATTAGTTGGCTCTTTGCAGCAGTCATTCAGTTGGAAGTTTGGGAACCCAACTACATAGAAATTTCTTCCTCTGGCTTTTGTATATTTTTATTTTGTTGGTGTCAGAGTTCCTTCTGCTGCACACGGCAAAGCAATTTTTGTTGTTCGATTAATTTTCAAAGTACTTCCAGTTTCACGAATTGGAACTATCCGCTTTGATGTTTTACATATTGAGAAGGAAATAGGACTGATGGCGGTAAGTTTTGAATCCTTTCTGCATGGCCTAATAGAGGAAAAAATTACAGAGAGAAAATATTTAACAATTGCGAATTCTCTGTATAAAAATTGAAGGAGGGGGAGAGGGATGGCATGACCAAGCTGTAAACGAGAAGGAAGAGCGGGGCTTTCACGGTTAGAAGGTCGTAGAACAGAATCCATGGGTTCAGGATACATTATTACAATTACGTTACTTGTAGGCGGTTTATTTGTGTAGATCATAACATTTTTACGAAATAATTCAGACAGATGATACATTTTGGTGTTGATTAGGAGTTTGTTAATACTAAAACACCAGCTGTACTTAAAATTGTCTTCTAATCTATAAGTCTTCGTCACAAAAACCAAAGAGAAAAAGAAAAAAAAAATCTGGACTGCAGCTTTGAGCCAGTTGTTTGGATAGGGTATTATTTGAAATATTATTTGGAATAATTACTGTAGCATTTTTTGTGATATGCTGTATGTGAGATAAAAAGGTGGTTGGGAATATAAAAATGTGGGTTGGAAAATGTATTTATGATGCAAGCGAAATACTATTTGGGATAAGTTTTGTATTCCTTTTACGTAGATTTTCCGCATATTATCAAGGGGCATTTAATCGTTGAGAGCAAACTCCTAAGCAAATACTCCAAAAGTGGAAACCACAATGAAGCCTCGGAGTACCCAAAAAAACAAGCTTTGGATATCGAATATTCCTTGACAACATATGGGAATTGGATGCAATGTTATTTTGGCCGCCTTGACTGGCTTGGCTGATTGATTAGAACTTCTTCGGAGAATTAGATCAGTAATTTTTTTTCTTTTTTGTTTACGTCTTTAAAGTAATTTTCGTGTTTAAGCATGTGCACAAGTTAATCTGATGGATACAAAAATCGTATTAGCATAATGTGAGTTACAAGTTAACACATACACCTAGCTAATTAAATTGTTGTTCCATATTGTTTGGGATCTTAGAAAGTGTGTAATTTTCAAAAGGGTGGATATGGCACAAGGAGAAGGGAAAGAAAATGACCTTACTTTGTCGAAAGCTTTTATATTTAAAAAGAGAAGAGTCATAGTTGAACGAAGTAATTCAAAGTTCCAAAATCCTTTGCCATGAAACCTCCAACACCAAAATCTTATGGAGTCCCTCTTATTCTCTTGCTCTTCTCAATTTATTCCAATTCAGGAACACCATATAATATTCCGAGGCTAACTCTTCACGGATCAATTCCCCAATATCTTGAATCCATCTCTCCATCCATCATCTCCTGTAGCATCACTACATGATTTCGAAACGTACTTTTACGAACAAACTCTAGACCACTTTAATTATGGACCTCCAAGTTAATGCCACTTTCAAGCAGAAATATGCCATCAACACTAAATACGTACTGGGGTGGTGCAAATTCAAGCTCACCAATATTTGCACATCTTGGAGCAGAAAGCCCACTTGATCATGATTTCCTCCGTGTTGGTTTTCCTGTTGATCATGCTCCCTTCTTTAATGCTCTTGTTGTTTATGTAGAGGTGCCCTAAGTTAAGATTAAAATTATTCTTCATGGTTTGGCGTTTGTCTGGCGTCAGGACTTGTTAATTCTTGATTTTTCCAGCATCGACATTATGGAGAATCAGTTCCATTTGGTTCAATGGAAGAAGCATTAAAAAATGAGACCGCTCGCGGATTCTTTAACTCAGCTCAGGCTATAGCTGATTATGCAGAGGTCTTGCTATACGTGAAGGAGAGATTTTCTTCTCCAGTTATTGTCTATGGCGGGTCATATGGAGGAAGTAAGGAGGGTAGAATAATGCCTTTCCTAAATTCCATAATGTGTATACTTTCTTTTATAGATTGTATCAACTTGCTATTATTATTGTTATTATTATCTTACAGCAGTTTCTTCTTCACAAAATTTCCAGTGCTGGCAGCATGGTTCCGGCTCAAGTATCCACACATTGCTATTGGAGCTTTAGCCTCATCAGCACCCGTTCTTTATTTCGATAACATCACTCGGCCGCAAGATGGATATTACTGGATCGTGACCACAGATTTTCTTGTAATATACTACTAATTTAACAAGATTTCAAGTAGTACATTCTTGTTTGCATCGAGAAAAGCAAGAGAACAAGCAGAAGCAACTTGGAATAATAATGTATTCATTTATCCAAGAAAAATTAATATGTTTTAATCTATCTAATGTATTTACATAATGGTCTTTCAAAGTATCTCAAATCACCTTGCGTGGAAAAAATTCAGACATTCTCACCCTTGATGATTGATCTTGCAGGCGACTAGCGTAAGTTGTTACCGGACAATCAAAGATTCGTGGGATATAGTTGACAATATCGCCTCTCAACCAGGTGGTCTCTCCATTCTGAGTCAGAGATTCAAGACTTGCTCGCAAGCCCTTCATGCTTCCCTGAGGACTTCTCTTTGGCTTGTGACCTTGAAGCAAAATAGAACAGCTTGTAGAATAAAACCCTTTTTGTATTTTCAGGCACTAGAACAGTGGCGTTGAGCTCAAGAATTTTTTAGTGTCAATGTATGCAGTGCTCAATATAATCATCCGCCTGATTATCCTCTTACAGTGCTCTGTGAAGCCATTGATCGAGCTGGAAGCCGAACTGATATTTTTGGCCAAATATTTGCTGGTGTTGAGTCTGCATTTGGAAAGAATTCATCCTGCTACGATGTCAACTACTTTCATCGTCCCACTGAAACAAACGAGGGATGGGGTTGGCAAGTGTATATGCTTTTGAAAACAATTTTTTCTAAATTTGGATTTTCATGACAGTACACTAGTGTTTGGATTTTGGCTCTTCAGGTCAAAATGGCCCTTTAATTTCCTTTTCTTATTTTCTCTGGATTGGGATATCATTTATGTCTTGGTTCTTAGAGATGTAGTGAAATGGTAATGCCCATTGGACGGACTGTTGAAGCTCATATGTTCCAGCCAGCCCCTTTTAATTTGACGGAGTTCACCCAATACTGTAAACTTGTTTATGGCGTCCCGCCTCGACCTCATTGGATCACAACCTACTACGGAGGCCATGTATGTTTTTCATTTTATACCCTGCGTTTCACGAGTCCAAATTATGCTTCTAGGCAATTCTTCTTTATTGCTTTCACAGAATCCCTTCGAATTTTCTGTCTCCAAATTAGTCTCTATTTTCTCTGTCCCTTCTTTATACAGTTGCCACGTATTTCTAACTTTTGATAACCTAAACTCAAAACCAATAATAATTGAAGAATTTTAGTTGATTTCTACATTTAATTTTAGTTAATTTGGGGTAAAAATTAAAGAAGAGTTTTAGTTGATTTCTACATTCAAGACCAACAAGACTCTTTTTTGTTAAAATAAAAATAAAAAAAAAGTTTTGATCTATCTGTTTTAATTGGTTTTGAGTAAACTTGTCAATCAATTATTATCGATTTGTTTGGGTTATTAAAAATTTAGAGACACGTGACAACTGTACAAAGAAGGGACAAAGGCGATAGAGACTAATTTGGAAACAGAAGATTCGAAGCCGATAGAATCTTGAACATTTAAATCATGTCCAAAATACACATAAGATGACAACACACCACCACAAAACCCCCCTCCCCCCCCCCCCAAAAAAAAAAAACTCCACACACACACACAAAATTCGAGAAAGGGGTGGCATATGATTTTTTTTTTTACGTGAAATATAAACTTTTATCAATCAGAATAGAAATTTTCTCAAACAGAAGCAATCTGCTCTATACAAAATGCCAAATATGTCTATAAAATCAGAAATACCTGACTATATAGTAACCTATGTAAAAGTAAAAATTTGTTGAGTAAAGTCCCACAACATGCATAGTTCCAAATTCCTTCGTATCCTTTCTATCTTCCTCGATGTAGCCACTACATGCCTAACAGTATAGTTGCACATGATGTTTGCAATATTGTGCAGGACATAAAACTTACCCTTCAGAAGTTTGCCAGCAACATCATTTTTTCTAATGGTCGAAAAGATCCTTATAGCAGTGGCGGGTATGTCATATATACTATCAAAAAATTATTGTCTTTGGTTTGAGCTTTGAAGTCATGCCTATACTGGATCATCTTGTAATGTAATGGTTTTCTGGCTTATTTATAGGGTGCTCGAGGACTTATCTGACAGTCTTTTGGCTATATCTACCCGCTCATGGTTTGCACTGGACCTTATCAATTCTTTTTTTTTTGAGAATCAAAGAGAAAGCCAAAAAGAAAAGAAAAAGAGAATAAAACAGTAGAAATCAATTAATGGCAGCAATATTGAAGCTCAAGCATGTTCTCGTTCCATTCTGCGCCCTTTTTCTTTTGAAGTTAAAAATTGGTTTGGCTATTAATTTTTCCTTCATTATTTTCACCATTTTATTCTAGAAAATTTTATTACTATTCCTAGAAAGGACATATATAGATACATTCTCAATCTACCCAAAAAAAATGGAAGATAAATTCCCAAAAAAAATTAAATATTTCAAGCGTATTATGCTGATCTTTCTTCCATTAATTAAAGACAGAAAATCAATTGAAAAGAGCCTATAATTTTTCCAAAAAGACAGAATGCATGCAATGTTTTGTTACTGGAAGATGATCAAGTAAATGGAAATGTCCTTTATTTCTAAATTCTCATCTCCAATTTTGTTCTCTAATGAATTACAGCAACATTATATCTCTTCGTCATCGTTTACTTGGCCTTCATTCTTGACTGAGGCGTGGCATTGAATCGTAACAAAGTTCGTGACAACGACGTGATATTCTTCGGTAACTTTGACTTGCCCATAATAGATTGTTAAATTGAATTTTGGCCACTTTAAACTTTTCATGCATTTTTCGTACTTATTACTTGTTTCTCTTTT